AAATAAAACCTTCTACAAAGAGTGTTAAGAGGATTACATGAATTAATATTTAAAGTACTTAGGACAGTGCTTGACACATGATAAGCTAAAAGTCTAAATTAACATCAACATTATCATATGACAGTTGGTGGCAAAATATTAAGGTATAGTTAAGCATTTGTAGTTATTTTACAAATTTGTCTTTACAAATGCAGTAATTACGTGTTGAGCATAGAAAAATACGTACGACATAATTTATCTCTCAAATGTTTTAGCAATTTTCACTAAGCCTGCACTTATACAAATGTACTTGGCAGTGAACACTGATAATGTACATTTATATATCACATATAGTCTATGTTTGTGTATTTGTAAATATTAGCTCATTTGTAATGAAGGCCTAAAGAGTCACCGCTGCTCAAGAGATGAAGATAGGAAAATATTTATAGTTTTCAAAATATATTCACATGTATCATCACCTTTGTTCTTATAACTTTGTAGGTAGAATTCTTAAAGGAAAGGGTTGTAGAATTACCTAGGTTACTTTATTAAATTTTTTAAAACCTGGATAATTTTGACATTTAGAAACATTACTTTATCCTCAGCTGAAGATTTTCGTTTTCATTTTTTACTAAAACCCTCTGAAATCGTTCAAGTCTTAATACTTTTCAGCATAGTAATTTGGGGATGTTGCATTATGAGAGATCCCTTGGTAACTATCTTAATTTCCATAAATAGCGTCAGTACTGGAAATGAATTTGAGTACCATTTCTGAAATTTAATCATGTCACACTTAAACACTCAGGAGAGAACTGTAGATGTCTACTGTGGGCCACACAGTCCAATAAATGAAAACAATCCTAGTTATTTTTAGATGAGTTAACTAAAGTGCTATCAATTTCCACTGCACGCACTTTAGTTTAAACATCATGTTCTATTAAATGCACATGGCAAAGCATATCTGTTCTTATGAGAATAGGTTTCCATTCCAGTTCATCATCATTTTCCTTTCAAGCTGTTTGTGAAAAGGGCTGTCTGAACACTGGAGTGTATATCATTGAAAAGCAACAAGAAAATATAAATTAAGACTTTAATTAGAAGAATTGCTGTAATACTATAATAAATACTATGGGGACATTTAAATGATTTTCACATATCAATCGAAAATAACTTTAATTAAAATAAAACATAATCAAATTTAATCAGATCCCCTGTAATGAATAAATTAAAAAAAAATACCAAAAAAATCCTGAAATCTACGAAAGTCAATGATAAGTTGTATGAACCTTATCTAGAAATCTAAATTGAAATTCTTTAAATGAGAATATTATTGCATTTACTCACCTATAAACTTAATTATTAAATAATTAGTGTAAAAATTATAGGTATTGTTTTGCCAAGTATTAAAACGTTTGTTATTAACATTGATATAATTACATTATTATTGAAATTTTTTAAAAAGTGGTTTGCATAATATTATTTCCACATAACTGGGCATCATGTCATAACAGATAGGGCTAAATATAAATTTATTCCTTATATAGTGAAAGTGCTTAATAGCTGTAATAATTAAAGACATACACTACACTAAAGAATTCATATAGATTTTTATATAATATGTATTCAAGTAGAATCTCGACATAAGTATCTTGCATTCATGTGTCTATTGATGAATTAATATGAATGAGAAATAAACACATGATCTAAGATCAATTATCAAGATGTCTGCATGCAGAATTGGCACAGAGAGAAACAGGATTCCTGTTTACCTCTCTTATTATATATCCATCTGCATAACCACATCACAAAATAAAATTATAAGAGTTTTTATCAAGTCAAAGGAACTTGCAATATCATTAAGTGAGCGCCAACTAATATACTACGGTACATTTTATTATACTGGCAAAAGCAGCTTTATAATACTGCTTAAAAATAGACAGTCTGGTGAAAACTAACTTGATAGTAACTGAAGACACTGAAAAGTCAGGTATCATCCCTATAGCTAAAGAACCCAGAGTGCTAGGTTCCTTCATTCATTTAGCAAATATTTGTTGAGCACTTATTGTTTGCCAGGTCAATGTAGGCAGTTGTGATTAGAACAGCAAAGTCTCTCCCTCGTGGGGTAGATATTTCATTGGAGAATTAGTCAGTAAACAATATTTAAAAGTAAAAATATATGTTAGTGGTTAACACTAAGGAGAAACACTACAGCAGAGAAGGGGGTGAGTGTGCGCCTTGGAGCGTGGGGTAGGGAGGTGGAGAGGCAGGGAGAGCCTCACTGAAGAGCTGTCTTTTATTCAAGGACCAGAAGGAAGTGCAGGAGGATTCATAACAAATACTATAGAAAAAAAGGAGATGGAAAAGGAAACGCTCCGGGGCAAGAATGCACCAGGTGTTCCAGGGCCTGCGGTGGCAGGAGCAGTGCGTAAGAAAGTCGGAGTCTAGGAGGTGAGGTGAGAGGAGGGCGCAAGCCCAGGCGGCCCTGCAGGGAACAGCAACAGGGAGCGGACTGTGATTCTCACTGTCTGAGGTCAGCAACCGGGAGAAGGTTCTGGGCTGCGAGGTGATGCGCAGGCAGAAGGAGGGAAGGACTTCTCTTAAGTAAAACTGTCCAGTGGGAACTTTCATGTCTGTAAAAAATCCTGTTTGTCACCTCCCTCGCCTTACAATTTTCTCCCCATAAGACAAATTCCTTAGGGAGCGAAACTGTGTGTGTGTGTGTGTGTGTGTGTGTTGGTGCGTGTGTGTGTGTGTGTGTGTGTGTGTGTGTTGGAGCTTCCAGGCAGCCTCACGGTTAGTTAGGATGAAGCCCTGGTTTAACGGCTCTCCTTCCCTTCCCTTCTCTCTTCCATTTTCTCTTTAAAGTTTCATGTTCATCGACACTGCCACCTGCTTCTGCGGCCCACCTTCCAGCCCGCACCTGGGCAACGCGAAGGGCGGAGGTGCCCGGCCATCCGGTGGGCTCTTCACATATCTAGTGTATCTAGTGCTCTCGTTAGATAGTCATTTACAACACACTTATTATTTTTAGATCATAAAGGTACTATAAGTTTATTTTTTAATAAAAAAATCAAAATATGTAGAAGAAGAATAAAGACACACTATAATATGATGAATATGAAACTACTTTTTTGTGAGAAGGCTCTATTTACGTTCTTGCTGGGGGTTTTTTCTGTTGTATTTAATTTTATTAAACTGGGACAGATAATAAATTAGGATAAGTTATATTTGCCTTCCATGAGTATTGTAAATATTTCCTAATTTATTGTGTTTTATAGTTTACTATTTTTATATAGATACTTTAGTGTATGAGTCAATTGTATTCCTTTGCAATACCTGCCATTATTTATAATTTTGGGGGCTGTTGAGAATGATTTCACCTTAAAACCGACCAGAACTTAATGCATCCATCAGTAGAAATAAGAAAGAAGTGGGACAAGTGAAGCAATATGAGTGCAGAAGCCCAAGATTAGACTGAAGGCAGCTGGATTTGAACACAATGATAACAGCGTCTCAGTATGGGCGTCCTCTGACCCGCCCAGAGTTAGTTTCTGTCACTTTTCCTTCCCTCTTCCTCCTGAAATAGCTGCCTAAACAAATGGCTTCTCTGCCATTATTGCAGGCAGAAGCCGACCCAATGGTGTCCCTGTGGGATATGATACGAAGCCCAGAAAAAATGTATCAGTCTCACTAAAGAGCAGAAGCTGGCACATTGATTATAATCTATGTCGTGTCAACTCTGAAGATCCTAACCTTGGTCAGCTTAGAGCTGGCACTCCCTGTAGCCTGCCGGTGCTTCTAGGTGCACTGCCATGAGTGAATGCTCTGAGTTCTCAATGTGTAGAACTAAATCATCACTGTGGCAGAATGTGCTTTCTTAGCCTCAATTTTTAAAATTCTATGAAGCCACAGACAAAGGCAGAACCATCTCTCTAGAAGCCCAGGCAACACAGAGAACAAGACTCCTGATTTATTACAAACTCTTACAAGTGCGCCACAAGTGTTCTTTTTGTTGGGGGGCAGAGGTGAAGAGAGGACGTGGAAGGATGTCAGAGCATGACAGGTTAAGGGAAATACCTCACTCTCACATTCATGTTCAAAGAGAAGACTGCATTTAAATATAAATGTTATATAAATATAAAACCAAGCCAAAGAAAAACAAGGCATATCATGAAACACAATATCAAAACACTGAAAGACATTAGGCACAGACTGGGAGCAATTAAATTCAAAGTCTATTTCAATATATCCTTCCATAATCAATCAGGTTCTTTCTTCTTTAAGGGTCTTTTCAGATGTGGTGACCTCAGCAAAAGTCTCTGATGGGAAGGTGGATAAGCTTTAGCTGTTGGCGTCAATGTCTAGCTCACATCCAGGTCTCCTTTCATTTTCAACATGTAGGTAAGCAACTTAGTGTCTAGCTGCTCCCTGGTCAGTATATGGGCCAAGGGGCCACAAAGGCATATTAATAACTCCAAATCTTAGGTCTCCTTTCCCAGGACAGGAGATTGTCTACAACTTCAGACACTACTTCTTAAGGTCACTCAAAGAGCTAGGGTCTCAGCTTCTAAGAAGAAAAATTGTATGTAAAATCCCTACTAATGTGTTGGCCAACTCAACATGAATCCTCCTTTATCTCTACCTTTTACCTGTGATAGAGGCCATCTGGCTAGAGTGCGCTGAATGCATTGTTAAAACCAGAGTAACCACTCTGGTGAAAATTTAGGCCATACACATACTCAAAAGCCAAAATGGGATTCATGAGAGAGATGCACTTGGGGTCTGAGGAGCTGTTGCCCTACTTTCAGACCACAGAGTGACCACTCCTGTGCCTGTCATGCATTGAGACCTATCCTGGAGAATTCATGTACATTCATAATATTACAGCAACAAATATTAAATCTGCCATTTCAATAAATTATGAATTCTGGAAGTAAGCTATATTGATGTCAGCTCAGATTCCATAACAAAGCCAGTCTATACAAATAAAACTTTATATATACATACATATGAATACTTACTGTATTGACAGTTTCTTCCCATGAATTCACCTGGGCACTCACAGGAATAGTTAGCAACAAGGTCTGTACATATTCCACCATTTTTGCAAGGCTCAGCTTCACATTCATTTATGTCTAAGGAAAACAGAAAAAAAACAGGAAGTGAAGTGTTGGTAAAAACAGTGATTAGTTATGGGAGGTTTTGGGCATTACAAACACAGCAAAGTCTAAGTAATGCTATTAGTTTTTGTGTATGTTAATCATGATTCAAGAATACAAACGCTGCTTAAATTTACTAACAATCAAAATAAATCAAGTACAAATGGAATTGAGAATCTAAATGAAAGGCCAACAGAACTAAACTACTCTCCAATCAGAAAATAAATATGAATAGTGTGGGGAAATAGTCAGTGTACCCTTAGATTTAAATCAAACAAATTTAACTGATAGAGGGATGAATTGATATCACTTACAAGATCTAGAAACCTCCCCTGCAGCAACAACTGCCAATTAACACTGTCTCATTTCATCTTAATTCATTAAAATTCTAACTGCCAGAGATGTTTTAGTTTCTAAATAGTTTGCCTTTGATGAATCCGATGAGGAGCAAATTAGAGTTAAAAGCTAAAGCTCGTTACATGCAAAGTATAATAAATGTAAATGATGATCACTTCCTGATCTCACTCAAGAGTTTCTAAAGTTAGGCTAACTAACGGGACTTGCCCTTGATATACCATTATTATACCTGATGCAAAATCATTGGAAATATAAAACATTCAGCAAATTGTACTAATTTCCATGCTAATTTTGTACAACAGGGATGACTAGTATCATTTTAAATGAAAAAGAAATGACTAATTCAGCCGAATATCAGTCACTAATATTTACAAATCATTCCCTCTAAGCGCAGCCCCACACTGGGCTCTGCGGGAGCCAGTGAAGTCGTCGGAGGACACACGCTGCTCCATTGCTTTCTCTTCCTATCATCTGCTCCAGTGAGCTCCTCTGCCCACAAGTCTTTTCTTTTTCCAACCTTCTTACAGACCTAAGTGAAGTTACTTAGGAATTGTCTACTCACACGCCTTTTACCCTTTCACTTAAGACTATGAACTTACAGATTCAGCGCCTGCCTTGACTGTTCTTTTTACCTCTGTAAATGCCACACATCATCTGGTGGCCACTAGTGACCAATAAATGTTTCCTGATGTTTCCAACAAAAGATTAGAAATAGTGGTGCAGACAATGTAATTTTTTTATTTTTTATTTCAGATGTGTATTGTGCCTTCTGATACACTATAATGTATCAATAGGTATTTCTGAAGTCCTGGGTTTTCATAGTACTTAAAGCAATATATATGATCATTAAATTACCCCCTCAAAACCAAGCAAGGGTAAAATACTAGAAACATCTCTATTTGCCCTTCTTTTTGTTTGTTTTACCATTTTCTTCTAAATAGTATTTCCTCCTGGAAGCAAAGTTGGTCCACCTCTCATTCTAAGTTTACTGTACAGATTTTGGTCTAAATTTCCTCAGGCAGGTGATGACTTACTCTGAAAAAAACCATCCTTTTTGGTTTCTGGTTGAGTCAAAACAATTCATGAGCCTGCCCAAGCGTGGCTCAGCGGTTGAGTGTCGACCTAGGATCCAGGAGATTGCAGTTCAATTCCCACAGGGCACATGCCCGGGGTGAGGGCTCGATCAATGACTCTCTCATCCTTGATGCTTCTATCTCTCTCTCTCCCTCTCCCTTCCTCTCTCTGAAATCAATAAAGATATATTTTTTTAAAAAATTCATGAGACTGTGTTCAGAAAGAATAGAAATAACTTGAGCATGTTATGTCATCAAATAATAAAATAAAACCAGACTCTGATAGTCTTTCAAAATAGCTGTGTCCTATTAAATACAATAGAATCCCAAATATTTAACACTAAAACTCTCCAGAAATAAAANGTGTTCAGAAAGAATAGAAATAACTTGAGCATGTTATGTCATCAAATAATAAAATAAAACCAGACTCTGATAGTCTTTCAAAATAGCTGTGTCCTATTAAATACAATAGAATCCCAAATATTTAACACTAAAACTCCCCAGAAATAAAAAAAAAAAAAGAAAGGAAGGAAGGAGTCATTTATTTGCTTATCTGATGTAATATTTAACTTTTTAGTCATGTCAAAATTTCACTTAGTCTTTAATTTTCATTAAATTTTGGAAGTGGCACAAGAGTCTCTTGCTATTAATTTTTTGCAGGCTCAATGTAGAGTAATGGCAATGTTTGGCAACTTTGGAACATGCCTGATATGTCTTTCCCTTGATTATATCTACTAAAATTTGTTTCTGATGAGAATAGGTTAATGACTAATAACTTAAACCTTCATGTCTTAGAGAGTCCCTTACTTTATTTTGTAAGTTAGGGATGAAAAGTTATTCTTTTATATGCTGATACAGGAGAAACTGAGCATGGATACCTGAAGAGCACGTCAAGGAAAATAGAACTTGATCTTGGACTTGAAGGAGAGGTTCAGTTAGGGGATAACTAACTAAACAAGGACAGGATAGAGATGGTGTATTTCCCAGCAGGAAACCAGGATGAGTCCCAACTGTGAGAGAAAGGTCTAGTGTGTGCGCGGGCACAGGCACAGCCCAGTCTACCCGGAGCAGAGAAGCGGAAGAGGGGTGCTGGTGACCCCGTCTGAGGAGCAGCCAGGGAGCAGATGATGAGGGACCTTTACAGCCAGCTGAGGAAACTGGCCTTGATCTTTCTACTTTGAAGACCTAGAATGGATGGGAGGGTGCTCCCTGCACCCTTGTACTGTAGAAAGGCCTAGTCAAACCATAGGTGGGATGGGCTTAAAAAATGAGTTCAGGAAGGCAGGATGGAGACCACACAAGATTTGATGTTAATGGGTACAACATATATACACGTGTATATATCTATATACATTGTATGTATGTATATAAATACATGTATGTTTTTTAATCCTCACTTGGGATATATTGTTTTTATAAAATGATTTTAGAGAGAAAGAAAGGGAAAAAGAGAGAGAAACATGATGTGAGAGAAAAGCACTGACCAGGTGCCTCCTGTACGTACCCAGAATGGGGACTGAGCCTGCAACCTAGGTATGTGCCTTGACCAGGAATTTGACCCAAATCCTTAGGTGCACGGGACAGCACTCCAACCAACTGAGCTACACCGGCCAGGGCACAATATACAGTTTAATTCTCAGGTAAAAAGCTCTAAGTATTTTCTCATTTTAAGATTGAACTGTATCATGAGTAAAATCAAACCCCGCTCTTGCTGCGCTGAAATGTTAATAGAAGGAAGTTTTCACAGCGCATGACTGAGAGCAATCAAGAGTTAAAACACCTACATTAAGAATATGCAGGCACCCTGTGCTTAGCTTCCCTGCACCTTCCACGCCTTTATACCATAAATTGTGTTTATACATGTTAATATGAATCTAATGGAGACTAATCAACCTTTAAACCTTCTGCCTGTTCTTCAGGACAGATATACAATGGGCAACAAAGGAAGTTATAATTAGGAACATCTGATTCTAAACACCATCACCACCACCACCAACGAAGAAGCAATTACACCTTTACTTAGACATTAGCATAAGGTAAGATAAGTTGGAATTGCATTGTTGAAGCGAAAATGCTTATAGCCATACTCAATTTGTGATAAAGAAAGACCTTTTATTGTTTGGGCATTTTTCAATTTTTTTTTAACTTAAAGAACTACCTTAAATCTAAATTCATAAAACACAAGTGTTATTTTAAGTGAGTTATGTTCTTTACTATAGTAGCAAAATAAGTAAAACATTTCTACATATGTACATATTTGGTAACATGTAGGCTTAGAGAAAAGATGCAAATTACACGGAAGTGGTTATACATTAGTAAAATATAGGGATTATTTCAGTGGTGAAGGCTATTTGCACTGTGATTAACACTGCAAGCAATCTAAGTGGAAACAGATCTCAATTTGAATAAATCATGTTTAATTAAAGACTAGATATAAATGTTCACAGAACATAATGTAATGAAATGAAAATTAAACATCTTTGTAATAAATCACATATATTTCTCTTTTTCACAGATTAAGGCATTATCATTTCCAGAAAAATGTTCACATCTAGTATAAATATACTAGACTATATGAGATTATTTTTAAAACTAAGAAGAACTTGACACAGCAGTTCTGAAATAAAATAGAAATTTTAATATTTGGTCATATTTAGAGTTCATTTATAATAATAATGGCTATAATTTTTTTTTAGGTCTTAGCTCCTATGATTGTCTAATAAGAACTGTTTTTAAAAAAACAACCTCATTGAAAATTGGGCTTGATCATCAATACACCAGCTGAGTCCTGATTCCTCCCTCTCAACACATAAAACTTCGCTGCCCACAGTCTAGTCTGACTGAGACACCTTAATGAGCTAAATCTGGATTTCCAGATGTACAGGCAGGCACACCTTTTCTTGGAGGGTGGGGAAAAGGAGTGGTGAAGGAAGAAGAAAGACCAGAGAGGAAGAGATGAGAGAGTAGATAGATGGTCACAACGGTATGAATTTCTTTGAACCAAAGAGGGATTCCACGAGGATTCCTATGCCCTTTGTTCTGTTGTAAATGAGCTACACAGATTTACTCGCTGTATATGTATAAGTTACACCCTTTATCTTTATCACTATGTCGCACTTGGCCCATTTTCTACAGACTGTTAAAGGTGTGTTTGTAGTCTACCCTCTTTGCCTTGAGTTTTTGCTAACAAATAATTGGTCCAATAGTTTCCATTTCTTTTTTGTGGTGAGGGTATTTATGATCTATGCTCTTAGAAACATTCAGGTATATGATATTGTTAGCTATAATCACCATCCTGGACGCTAGAACCCCAAACCTGCTAATCTTACACCTGGAAGTCTGTACCCTTTGACCAATCTTTCGTCATTCCTACCCACCCGTGGTAAACCGCTCTATTTCTCTGAGTTTGTCTTCCTTAGATTCCACATACTCACTTTGTCTTTCTCTGAGTTCATGTAGCCTAATGCCCTCAAGGTCTATCCAAGTTGTCACAAAAACAGAATTCCCATCTTTCTCATGGCTGAATAATATTCCAGTGTGTGTGTG